TTACTCATTGTTTTCCTCGAGCGGAAAATTCGAGGAATCCAAAACTCGTTAGGAACATCGGGGAAACTTCGTATAGACCGAAGAGAAACGACGACGAGATTTTTCTCGGATTACTCAAAAGGAATCGCCGCTGTATCGCGTCTATTTTAAGACGCTGAATTTATTGACCTAGAAAATGCGCCTCGCCGCACCCGATAGCCGTGGAAATGAATTTAGAGCCGGTACTGTACCGAATAACAGCGGCGGGTTCTCGATAAGGGTACACGTTCACCTGAACCCCCTGAATTTAATGCTTCTTCCTGAGAGAAAAATTTCGGCATTTTTCCATACATACCGGTTGCGTCTCAAAAATGGCTCACCCTATAACTTTTTTTATTTTTTTTTTTTAGATAAAAAAAACGAAATTTGGTATGTCATGGTATGTCATAAATTAGGATTGATTTACGTATTGAATTGTTTTTGGTTACTTCCTGTTTTACCGGAAATTACTACAGCTTTTGGATTTAAATGACATTCTCGGTATTTTCGTACTTTATTCGCTAGAAAATGACATTCTGAATACAATGACATGTCATATGTCAACTTTTGACATTCTCGCTTAATAAAAAATCCTATTTTAAAATTCAATCTGGAGTTCCATGGCCATGTTAAAAATACTAATTTTTAATCAAGGAGCCTTGGAAAAATAGATTTGATCGTCTAATGTTTTAGTGTCTTGTACTGGCTTGGTTTGGTTGTGTCTTGTACTGGCTTGTTAGAAAATGCTCAAATCGTATTTTTAATCATATCTCAATTTTTTCAAATGGAACAAGGGTGGTTCATTAGCATATATGGAAAAAGCATTTTTTTACGAATAATTTGATACTACACACTTGTATTTCGAGTCAAATTTTGGTTACGAACCAAATGTTCAACCAATGAACCAATAATTTCAAATAAACCATATGCGAAAATGTCAAAAGTGGACATATAATATGTTATTCTATTCAGAGTGTCATTTTCTATCGAATGAAGTAAAAAAACTGAAGGTACTATTTAAAAATCAAAAGTTGTAGTCATTTCCGGTGAAACAGTAAGTGACCGAAAACAATTGAATACGCCAATCAATTCTAATTTGTGTCATATACTAACATACCAAATCTCGTTTTCTTAACTGAAAAAATAAAAAAGTTATAGTGGTGAGCCACTTTTGAGACGCACCTGGTATAGTCACGAAAATCAGCGATTTTGGTAATTTCGTGAGCCCACGTGGGGCCGACGTGTTGCGACGTGGGCAAGAGTGTACACATGAGATCTGGGACAGACGACACACGTGTGATAGCGTGGGATGGCGTGGAGTGACGTGGAGTGGAGTGGAGTGTTGCCTATTGTGTACGCAATACATGTAATTAAATGGAAAAATATACGTACAGATCTTCATGACGTGGGGTAGCATGGCATGGCGTGGCGTGTTGGCTAATGGGGTCCCGGCATTAACCTTGATCGAAAATAGCTGAAAAACAAGAGTCTAAAAAAATAATTTTCTCTCAAAAACTAAGTCTTCAAAGGTGTATGTGTATGTATTCTGAAACTGCATAAAATTTTATACAAATTCTGAAATTTACATAATTTTATGACTATGTTTACTATCTAAACTATCTTTCTAATTAAGGTCTATGAAAATGTGTAAAAATGGCCAAAAATTGGCATTTTCTAAATTATTACATTTGGGGAGTACCTTATTTTTGGTGTTACAACAGCTTAATGAAATACTATAATTGACCGCAATACACCAAAACACTTTACTTTTAAACACTGGACGCTCCTTTTGCTAACCATGTAGCGTCATCACCGCTTAAGTTTTTTATTAATATATCTTTAATTATTGTGTAAGCTGTGGCGTCATCATGTTTGATAATGCTATCATAGTTATCTCACATCAAAAACTAGTTTAAAAAGAATGGTTGAAAAACTCGATTTTTATTCAAACCAAAATATATTAACCCTAAAATCTGCACAATTTCAAAAAGGGCACAAAAAATCGATAAGACTCTACCTGTGATTCGACTTTAATCATTATACCATCGTATTCTAAGCGATGAATCGAATCTCACGATTCATTTTTAATATTCATTCGAATGAACGACTCGTTCAATCTTTCAATCTTTGCCAGGCTCGGTATAATAGCCCCAACCCAAATTAACATTAAATACCAATAAAAAATAACTCTATTTTTAGAGTACGTAAACGATAATATTATTTTCTATCCAGTCCTATACGGATTCCAACATTCTTTTTATTCCACAGATCGCGTAAACATGAACGACGATAAAAATAAAACATTTCGTGATTTTTTACGCGTTAATGAACTTTGTTTACTACATTACTATGTCGGAATGAATTTAATGGATCCGATAACGCTTCGATTTGAAAAATATGCTGAAATAATCATTAAAATATTTTTTATGTATCTAATTTAGGTCAAATTTTTGTACTAAAACGATTAAAAAAACACAGATTAAAATAACATATTTGTATTGAAATTTAATATTGTGACAGAGCTTACAACTTACATATACAGGGTGAGTCTCAAATAAGCGCAAATATTTTCAGAGCTGGTTTTTCAAATAAGTCCAAAATAACCCAGTTATTCAAATTTGAAAATCAAATGCACACTGCATTTACCAACTAATAGAATCATATCAATTCTCTCTGATGTAGGAAAAGTTTGCATTTTCGCCAAAATTTCTGAGACATTTTTTTTGTTTTAACTGACACAAAATGATAACTAGTTGTTAAAGTTGGACTAATTAGACAGCTATGTTGAAGTAACGTCAGACATATCACTGCCACCCTAGATTTTATCAAATAATAAAGATCTACCCAGATCAAATTATGTAAATGAAAATATCTAGGAAAATATTTGTTTGAGGGGTAGGCAACCTTAATAGTATTTTGAAGAGACATGAATTCTCCATTGAATATCGTAATAATATACTGGGTGTTCCATTTAAAATAAAAGAGTAACATGCTTTTAAAGGTGACCAATGTTCAATATTAATTTTGTCTCACCCTGTATAACTTTTTGGATCAAGTTTTAATTTGATTTAAAGTACAATAGTTAGTTTCACTACATATTAGGCTATACTGGGTAAATTCCAATTTAGGTAGCTTTTATTGTAATTTAAAAATTGTTCCTTATTTCTAGAAAATGTTAAATATGTCAAAAACTTTACATTTTAGTCATATATCTCTCTTATAAAACTCACCTTTATTTTTCTCCCTAAATCCGAAAATCAATTAATATATAAGGTGTTCTATTAAAAAAAAAAAGACAAATTTGATATGTAACTTTTTTGTGGACTCCCTGTAGAACTCTCTATATTTTTAAAAAATGCTTTGAATTAACCTACATATGCTCATAAAATTTCATTTCAATACAAACTGTCGTTCTCCTTGGAGCCTCCGCGGCGTATGAGAAGCACCACCCTGTATGCATTTTTTATGAAAATATCATTTTATGTGTAAAATTATACCAAGAATGATTCATCGATCGTCATTTTTAAGCTAACTTGACGCCGTTTATTTTCGATCGTACGGTATTTTAATTATATGGCCAATGATTTTGTATCGCAACAAAGAATTATTTTCCAATAGCGATGGAAATTTTTGTTAAAAATTGGGTTTAATTCCGTCTAGTAACAAAATAATTGTGTAACTAACTGTTTTTCGGGAACTAAGCTAATCATTGAGTCGAGCCATGTTGTTGGTAAACAGAAATTTCACAATAAATTCGACAAATATGAATTCCCCAGCGCATTCGCCATATTTTAAAAACTACAAACTTACCACAAACTAACTTCTGTGACTTAACTGTAATTTTACGATATTAAAATAATTATTTATTTTATTTTCTTGTTTACGGTTTATTGTTTCATATTTTAATACTGCCTGTATGAAATGTAGTATATTTTGTCCGTTTATGGCTAGCCTAACCAAGACGATATAAGCTTTAAGCTTATATTAATTCAGTAAGAAATAAACACATGTTTTGTTTAAAAATACAAATACATGTTTTCTTTCAACCAGGGTGCAAAAAAATCGTAATTTTTTTTTATTTTAATCGGATTTTTTTGATTTTAATCAATTTTCTATTTAAACTCCTATCCTAAATGGCCAAATCTTTCTAACTCTGCCCAATATCGATAATATTAACACTTCTACGGGGCGTGTCGTTTTTCCGTATCGGCCACCGATATATTTTATTCTGTAAACTTTGCCGATGCCCCAATTTCCGGAAAAAAATCGCCCGCTTGGATCAAAGGGATTTTCAAATCAAACAGCCTTGACACCAGCAAATTTTTGAATTGATTATTATAGTCCTCGGGAATATAAAAATATAACCTGACAACGGAAAGACAAGAAACTAGTTCTGCACTTGAGTTTGCGAATGAAATGTATTCGAATACCGGATTTCGGGCACTTCACAATTTCAAAATAAATCTCTGCCATTTAGAAGTATCTATCATATGATCGAAAAAAAAACGGCGTCAGCAATGGCTATGAAATGAAGATCGCTATCATTTTATATGTAAATTAATTTATATGGGTTTGTCATTTCTCATCAATCGTCATTTCCCAGCCAACTGGACGCCGTTTTTTTCTTTCGATCATACGGTATAATGGATTCACACGGAATAACTTCAAAAATGTGTCCAACATTTTAATAGACGAATAGATATTAAGTAGGTACATGTGTTATATGTTATATCTTTTACAATTATTTTTTGATTTATTAAAGTATTTAAACGTTACAACAGCAAGTGTAACTTTGTATTTGATGAATAGATATATTTGTTGTAGGAATACTTTTATATAACTTTATAGGAAAAGTTTTTATAACTTACAGTTATTTTTCGATTTATCATAAATTTATAAACAAGTGGAATTAAATCATTGCACCCTGCTTTCAACTCTGATATGGAATGACCGTTAGTATACGAACATGTTTTCTGATGCAGGTCGAGCGCGATTGAGCAGGTTGTCGCCTGCAGATTATGGATGTTTCCTTCACCAACGTATTGGAGGGGGCGCGTCAGTATTTCCAGGGGCTTCCGTCGGGCAACGCGGCAGCAGCAGCAGCGGCAGCCGCGGCGGCCAGCCCCTACTTCCAGCAGCAACAGCACCAGCAAACCGCGCAGCCGCGTCAAGCCGCCGCAGAACAGCACCAACAGCGTGGGAATCCGGCGACGGGGACACCTCAAACTCATTGGCAACACCATAATGTCCCACCAGAACTCAACAGGTACGTTTCTTGCTTGGAAATCGGTTAGGGATAGAAGTATCCTTACTAATACTATAAGCGCGAAAGTTTGTATGTCTGGATGGATGTATAAATTTCTGTTACTCTTTCACGCAAAAACTACTGAATGGATTTTAATGAAACTTTACAGTAATATAGCTTATGCATCAGAATAACCTATAGGCTATAATTTATAATGATATTATAAATAAATAAAAAGATAATTACCAGGAGAGCAATAAAATAACACACAGTTAGAGATATTTATTTAATTTTTTGTAATATTCACAGGCCACCGGCGAGAGAACACACTCCCGTCCAAAGACCACCTTCAGCGTCGAGACCTCCATCCGGCCCAGCGCAATACCAAGAGATTCCCAGGCAGTACCACAATCTGTATCCTCAAGAGCAACATCCTCCAACCTCGACAGCACAGCTAGGTTTCCAGTTCACCAGGCCTCAGTCACGGGAAACCTCTAATCATCAATACCAACCGCACATTGTTACCAGCTCCCCCTATCATCCGCCCGAATCTCCTCAAATAGCTCGAAATCCAGCAACAAGGGAACAATTGCCAATTGTTTCGAGTCAAAGTCAGAGTTATCAACAGGCCTATCAAGCTCCGACGTCACAGTATACGTATCATCAGCGTCCACACTATCCTAATCAGCCTAAAACTACTGTTAGTTATGCGACAGGGCAATACCAAGCGACCCCACAGGGTCAATATTACAAACAGAAAGCTTACGCCCCTCCTACGCCGAGTGTATCAGGGCAGCAAAGCAGTTATCAGGGCAGTAATCAGCAACAAACCTATAGAACGACGCATAATCTTCCACCTATCGCTGCATTATCGAACTACCAGTCCAGTAAAAATGTCACGAAAGAGCAAACTCCGAAAGTTGCTCTTCCCCGAACCAGGTTACCGTCATCAAGCGCTTATTCTCACGTAACACATACAGTATCAGCTCAACAGCCTCTAACTAAACGAGAAGACAGGCCTCTGGTTAACTCTAACCTCAATTACAATCACTACCGTGTCCCTCCTGTACAAAACCATCAACCAGTCGTCTCACAGGTCGTCACACAACCAGTTAATTCGTACGGGAACGTTTCAAATAATTCTTATTACAATGCAACTCAACATCAGGAATATTTCAATCACCCCAAACCAGCTGAAGTTCAGAATGTACCGAGGGTTCAGTCTAGAGAACAACATCCTGCAAACTTCCAAAGGGTGAATGTGATTAATGAACCGATCAAACAGAAAAGAGAAAGTCCTCTAGATCTGTCTGTGAAGACTGTTAGAACTTCTGCAGATTCTACTGAAGAGGGTGAAAAATCTGGTGGTATTATTAAACACACTCCAAGTAAAAATACAACCGTGACTCATAGTTATCCCACTTTGGATATAAACACTATTCAGATAAATTTAACTCACCGATCTCAGGCCGCTGCAGTGTCAGCACCTAAAGTAGAGTTTCAGCCAGATTTCAATCACCCTCGTAACTCTGGGTGGAGTCCTAAAAGAAATACTACGGAGGCTTTGAGAAAAAGTTCCTACGAACAAAACAACACGAATATTAGGCCTGATTACTCTCAAATCTACCAGGATAAACGGTTTCATAACGGACATGTTCCTTCAACTTCCGTTCATATGCAGGTCTCACCCAAAGGTGCTATTCGAGCAGAATTCAGTAGTTCTACTAGTCAAAAGTCGTTCTCTTATGATAATCCGGCGAAGAGGCCTAGCGAGTTACCTCCGCCGGTGATACCTCACAAAATCCCTAAAGTTGAAAACTGGAGACAGTCTATCGATTTCCAGATTGAACAAAAGCTTTCTCATTACAAGCAACAACAGTTGATGGGACACCAACAACATTCCCAACAACACAGTCCGTCTATTTCAACGTCAGTGATCTCTCATGGTTATCCAGATCAAAATTACCAACAGGCAGCTTATAACAAGCAGAATTTCAAGCCTAATCATGGGTTTCCTCAAGAACCTGTCACAGTAAATCATCAGTATTCGACGTATAATCAACCGAAACAGTTGTATTTAAATCCGGCAAGTCGGTCTAACTCTAGTCCCTTGTTACCGACTACTAGTAGACAATCTGCTACGGGATCGGTGAACAAGCGTGTTTTGAACTTGCTCAGAAACACTATCGAGGTGAAGGAGCAGAAAAAACTCGAACAACAAAAGTCTCACGATGTTATATCGCAAAGATCGGATATTCATTACCCTAACACCGATGTTAAAGCTCCTTTACAGCCTAAACCTGCGATAGATCGGAACAACGTATCTCCAGTACCGCCCGCTAGCGTCCAGGACATCAAAGAACTTGTTGGGAACGCTAATGCAGTCATGAACGGTAGTTCTTCGGATGCTCACATCGAGTACCTCGAAACTGTCCTCGAGATTAGAGTTAGAACGAAAGGGGAACTAAAACAACTGCACACAGAAAACAACAACGCAGCTAGGGACGCTATTATTCAACTGATTATCGAAGATCAAATGAAATCTCCTCAAAGACCGACAGTTCAGCAGATATCGAGTTGTTCCAGTACAACGAGCGGCAGTACGAGTCCTCCTAAACTACTCAAAGAGCGCCAGGCCGCAATGGCACCGAGAAAAAGACTGTTCAGTAGAAACGAAGAGGAGTCAGCCAAAAATGGAGTACCCGGAAGAGACAAGTCTGGCCTAAGAAGCTCTTCGGAGACTTCTGTTTTTGACTTTCCTGACTCAGATGATGAAAACGAAATGCCAGTGTTGGAAAGACAGTCCTTGGAAGCTATGAGGAGGGATAGGAGGAACTCTTTGAAACCTGCAGGTGTTTCTGTCAGTGTTTCAGATAATGAAATCAAAATGGAGCCTCCTTTCAGGCCTAGCACTCCTGAAGATGATATTTTTGGTTCTATTTGCGATACTTTTGTAGAACAATTGAAAAAATCACCAGTTAAAAGGGTCAAAAGAAAAACAAGTGAAGTACAAATTAAAAAAGAAGTAGATAGTGAAACAACTATGGTGAAACAAGAACCCGAATCTGAACCATTGACAGCTATTGTTAAGGAAGAACCGATGTCACTCCCTAGTTCGTCGAATTGTGAAACACCCTTGGTAGAGAATATTATCAAAAGCGACTCTGATTCGGATAGTGAGATAACAAAAGATGAGACTTTGGCGATGATTAGGAACAAACGAAAGGTTAGAAGAAAAGTTCTCAGTACCAGTGAGAGTAGTGACGAGGAAGGTGAAAAAATACCAACTAAAGATGTTAAATTAGAGGAAGAAGCCAACAAACCTTTGGACGAAAATAGTAAAGTTGAAGAAGATGAGTCCCAAGTGTTGAAAATCGAAATCAAACAAGAAATAACTGACGAAATCAAACAGGAAGTTACCACGGAGTCTGAAGTACCCGAAGAACGACGCAAATCCACCGATTCCGTAATAGTCCGACCTGCCAAAAAACCCTTGTTTGGTGATGGTTCAGATTTCTATCCCGGTTGGGAAGAGGAAGTTTGTAACTACAAGAAATCCCTTCGCATGCCTCCAAGTTTAATCCAGGTCACCAGACCTCCAGCTTCAATGAGACTGTCAACTTCCCTTCCCGATTTAGATCCATGTCCTCAATCTCCGACAACCTCAGTAACGACTGAAGTAGAGATTAAGGAACCTTCCAGCAAGAAGTGCATCAAAAAGTTCAAATCCGAGCCGATAGACAGCGACAGCGAGAGTACAAGTAGCTTTAATTTATTCTCTAAGAAAACTAACTATGATTCTGAAGGGTCCTCATCGATTAGGAGTCTACCAAATACGAAAATGGAGAATCTGTCGATACTGGATAGACTTTTGGAGAAGTGCGGTGGAAAGAAAAAAAGGAGGGTTAAGAGAAAGGAGGATCACAGTCCGAAGGTTGTTCCTAAGTCTGATAATGGGGTGGAGTTACTTGCAACTCCCACTCCAAGTATAGCGTTATCAGAAAAATCTCCGGAAAAATCTAAGGGCCTTAAATCACCTGTCATCAATGCCAAATCAGCTGTGCTTCCTTTCCGAAAAGATACAGTCAACAACTTCAAGGACGCTTTTATCAATAGTGGCAGCAGTGTTTTGGGTGTGCATGACAAGTTCACCACTATAGTTATGTCATCTCGGACTCGTAAAGAAACGCGAGCCATGAAACAGAGGGCCACTATTAAGGAAGTTTTCGGTGAAGACAGACCTGCATCTGCACCTCCAGTCACTTGTATAAACGATGCACAAATCAAGGAGGAACTCAAAGACTTAGAACCCTTCTCCAAAACCTTGGAGGAGATACTGGTTGTCAAGAAAGAAAACGTCAGTCCTTCGAACAACCGAAACTGTTTGAGGAAGATTATGAAGGACAAACTGACCAACAGCGAGAGTACCAGTTTGCTGAAGGAACTAGTTAATAGAAAGATCAAGACTGAAGTTTTTGACGACGAGTACAACGAGGATAACGTTTCCATCATGGACTTTATAAGAAGAGACATTGATGCTAGATCTGAAACGACTTCCTTGGATGGAGACGAGACTATGGATGGAAGTATCTCTGGAAAGAGGCGTAGTAGGTTCGGGAAAATGCGACGGAAACTTAGTTCCGGTTTCGATTATATTCGGAAGAAGAAGAAGGTTAAGAAAGAAGAGACTACGGAGAGCAGTAGTGTAGAGAGGAGAAGAAGGGTTGTTACTAAGGCTCCTGAGTCGGTTGATGACATACAGAAAGAGATAAAGACTTGGGTGATGAACAAAGGGATTGGGGAGACCCATCTTCATAGGGCTGCGAGACTTGGGTATGAGGTGAGTATTGTACTGTATCTTTAAAATTGATTTAATCTTTGTATTTTGACAAAGAAAAAATCACTAATTTACTATCGTTATTATAAAGGGTGTGTCTTAAAATAAATGCAAGTTTTTTAAGGGGTTTATATATTTATTTACTCGTGTGCAAACTAAGTATAAAATCCCCCAAAAAAATAAAACCAGATATAATGATATAAAATAATATAAACCGACTGTTTATACTAACAAATCCTGTAATTTCCAGTAAAATCATCTGCTCCCTTACCTTGGCTCCGATTTAGGTATTCACTAAACCGTTCTTACTTGCGCACCAACGTTCAGTAGCTCGTCTTGTGAAATTTAAACTGAGCGCCGTAATTTTTCAAGCAATAAGGAATTTCTTCTTACAACCACTTTTTCGATATATCAGTAGTAAATAACTTTACATCTATTCATGGAATTTAATATACAGAAGAAGTCTGCCAGATTTCGCAATATTTTAGTCTAACATTATATTTTACTTATTAATATATTAATCTGATTTTGTCATATTTTTAACCCATTTTTGTACCAAAAATATTGTCTAAAAATATTGTTTAAATGGGCTCTAAAAATATTTTTTAAATTTCCCAAAAAATATCAAGAAAAACTTTGGATTTGTTTCTGCGATCGAAAAATATACTACCAATTGAAATACTGGCACTTATTATCAGACACCCTGTATTATGATACTCTATATTAAACGTATAATTAATTTCAGGACATAACGGCCTATTGTTTGGAGAAAATGGAATGCAACCCATCTCCAAAGGACAATGCAGGCTATACTCCACTTCATGAAGCTTGTATACGGGGTCACTTAGAAATTGCCAGGTTTCTGTTACAGTACGGCGCAAATGTACATGAATCTGCTCAAGGCGGTGTCAGGTAATTACATCTAGATTTACATTATTTTTATTTTATTTTTTATACAGTTGATCTGTAGGATATCTGTTTGGGAAATTACAGATAGTTTCACTTATTTTGAAATTACAGTTGGGGAACCTTTGGTGTTACATCATCGTTGTATTTCACCATTGTTTTATTTGCATTTTATCCGCATAAGAAAATTAAACGTTTTTTTTCAAATTTTAAACATTCTTGCGTGGATAAAATACCCCCTAATGCACTTAGATATAATAACAATTTTTTTCTTAATTTTTAGGCCTCTCCATGAAGCTGTTGAGAATGGTTTCGTGGAAATTGTTAGACTGTTGCTCTCGTACGGAGCCGATCCTTCTTTGGCTACTTACTCGGGAGTAACTCCTCTCTCTTTAGCAGCAGACGAGACGACAAGAAAGCTACTAATGAGCTATATGACAGATAAAGAAGGAGAGAGCGGTGGAGGACCGTGGGAGTTCCAAGGACCAGCTTCATGCTTTGGTACGTTTAAAATATAGTGTTTCTCTTTTTTTTTGTTAGTTTTGGCGCCCAACGTGGGACACGAACTCAGCTCTGAGATTAAGAGTCCAATCTGCCTTTTTTCTGTCACTATATGTCGAAATATTTCCTGATTCGTAAAACAGACTATAATCGGCTTTCAATGAATCAGCTTGAAAAATTCCTTATATCTTTCTGTATGCTGTGCTATTTGTGTTTTATACAAATCATTGTTTTTTTCAGATCCGGAAGAGTCCGGATACGATATCTTGGACGACGCACCGGAAGCCGACGCAGATCCGGAACTCGAAGACATCGATATCGACATGTCCGAAACCCTTCCCCCTAACCTCTACACTCTGCGCGGCGAGCCCCCCACAGAACGCTGGGTCCTGCTGCAAGATCTCTCCAACCAACTCAAAATCAAATCGCGCGACGCCCTCTTACGTCAAATCGCGCCACCTACCTCACCAAACGCACCCGTCAACTACAAGAGCGTGCTGCGCGAACTGAAAATGACGGACTTCCTCGAACAGGCGCACTGTTGCCAGTTCCTCAATATGGGCGAGAAAATCAACACCAGGGCTACGAAAATAGCGCTGGTCAAGTACAGTGACAAGGTGAAGGAACTGCTGGGTATAGAAACGACGGTGGTGACGTCTAGGTGACGTACGTCTTAGTGGTTCACACGTTGGGACGTCAATTTTTGTATATATAAGTGATTAACGTGAAACCGGTGATATTTTTGTTTATTTTCTATTTTTATTTCGGTTTAGTGTGAATACGTCGAACTGGCAACAACGTTGATATTTTTTGTGATGTTTTCTTACATTTTTTTTGTTTGTGTACCGCGTGATCGGAATAAAAATGACGTCGCTTTACTATATCAAAGTTTACAGAATGAAAATAATAAAAAAATATTTTAATTCTTTAAACTTTAACTATATCCATAAATGGAGTTTTTGACAGTGAGTTTCATTCTGTCTCTATCATGACATGCCAATATTTAAATGGGTGTGACAACCTATTTAAAAAAAAACAACAACTTCATGTTGTAATATATCATAAAAATGTATCTTTTGAGATACAGGGTGCTAAAATTTTCTAAAATAACACTTTTTTCATAATTACTCTGATTTTATTAAACAGTCAGTATCCCCGGATTATCTTTACAAGAGGAAAAACGTTTTAATATTGACATCTTGAGCAAAATACATTCTTCATAAAAAAATTGTTCTAAAATGGTTAATCCCGTTTATACTTTTCCAAATTTTCATACTCATTTAAAGAATTAAAAAAAAACGTGAAAAGACGATTGAAAAGTCCTAAAAATTAAAAGGCGTTTCTATGGTAATAGGATTTCGATGAAATCTTTGACAGATGGTTATTATTCATTTTGATTAACGTCATATTTTTTGGTGTTGTTAATGTATCACGTTTTCCAATAACTATTATCACCCTTTCTGTAGGAACCTAAATAAATGTGCTTTAACATTTTAAAACAGCAAAAAATATGATGTTAATTAAAATTCTATCAATAACAATCTATCAAAGAATAAAAACGACATTCTATGTTTGCCTTTTAATTTTTAGGATTCTTTCTTCATTATCCGTTGTTCCTGTCAAGAATTTCATGGATAGATATAGTAAAACTTAAATTGAATTTTTCTACGCCTACCATGACGACGTTTTTATTCGATCACGCGGTATAATTTTATGCAATTCTATTGGTGCATATAACGGAATCTATTGATTTTGTTAATGTTATTTAGTTACCAAGTCTAAGAGAAGATGTTTTTTTAAGTAGGACATTTTTTGAATTTAAGTGCAATCATTGTTGTTTTATCAAATATTTTTTTAAAAAATTGTATTGATTTTATTCATACAAAAGTTGTGTGTAACTTCAAAATTATTTTTATTACGCCTGATAATTTTTTCGAAAATTAATTTTTTAAGTTTCTTATTTAATCAATTTTGGTGTCCAGTGGATTCCAAATATTTTTTTAACAAAACTTGATATTTTCTTAAGTTAAAAACAATCAACAGAATTCATTACTTTTTTATTTGAAACAACTAGATTAACTATTTGTCAAACGAATAGTACAGAAAAAAACATAATTTAGAAAATTTTATATTATATTTTGTTATTAATAAATTAGTATTATTATATAATTCGTTTTCAAGCTCAGGGATCTTATAACTAACTTGTTTTTTTTTCTTTATGTCTCTTTAAGAACGCGGTAAATTTGAATGGAAATTATTCAATTCAACAAACGATTTTTTTCGAGAAAAAAAATGGTGTCAGAGTAGCCCTCGACCGTTGTTTCGAAGGCTGCCACGACATCGTTTCTTTTTCTTAATTTTTTATGGTATTAATTTTGCAACAACAAACTCAATACAAATCAAAGTCCTATTACAGAATAATAAAATATTTTTAAAACGATATTAGTGTATAGAGTTTTACAAAAAAAAAACAGAGTCGCTATTTTTATTTTCCTGCTTTTTAATAATATTAAACGATAGAAAAAATAGTAGTAAATGTGTATATTGATGTATTTATTTTTTACGTCCGCCATTGTGCGGGTTTGTACAGTTAATATTATCTGTGATTCAATGAATAAATAGGAAAAAAAAATCTACGTGAATGAAATTTGGTGAGGCAGAGTGCAATGCTTCGGAGAGAAAAAGTTGTGATTTTGCCGACTCGTGCTATTATTATTATTATTATCAGTGTTGTAGAATAATTATATTTAATTTATGACTAATTTTTCACATTTTTAATGTTCATTTTTTTTCTCTCTTTTTTGTTTCATATAAAATATGTGGACAGATATTTAATTGGAGTTTTATTTCCTTTCTACATTCCCTATAATCTATCTCACCTAGGACATACCCTGTATACCCATGGTACAAAGAATACAAGGTATGATATTGCGCAGGTTGGCCACTACGTCACAGGTGATAAACGGCACCATTGGTCGGCAAGCTCTGCGCGCCAATTTCAAATTGTCAAACAGATTGTGTCATCTGTGAAATTTGATTGTGTCAAAATGTGAAAATAATTTTTCAAATGTCAAGCTCGATGTCAAAACATAACTTTTGGGGTTATGTCCTAATTCTTCCCTATTTTAAGTCTTTTTTTATTAGTGGCAATTGAACAATATGGATATTTTTTTGTATGGCGTATGACGTCACAGGTGGTATGCGCAAACTTAACGAAATTGGAGCCGCTATCGATCATACCTTGTTTTCGTTGTACCATGCTGTATACCCTTTGAATAAGAAGACTAAGGAAGGAGCATATCAAAAATCTTAGGTACACCGCGATGGGCCTCAAATATGGCCGACTTAAATTCCGGTTTATCAGTGTCGTTCTAATTTTATTTAAAAAATGTAAAACTATGATGTAGGGTAGACGTGGGGTAGACTCAATAATTTGTTGTTTTATTTTACGTTGTGAATAAATGTTGGTAGTTATTAAAATTGTTATAAAAATATGTAATTCTAATAAAAATAGATAAGTTAAAATAAGTATTTATTAACACAAACATCCGATACGCTACTGAAGCAGGTAAGTCAAATTAACGTATCTAAATTCTTTGACATCTAATCTTTGACAAGTAATAATTAAAAGCTAAAATGCAAGAAAAATATATAATTTAGTTAATTTAAGTGAATTTCATAAATGATCGGTTTACTACACGTATGTATTTTATATAGTCACATACTAGCGAAAAGTTGTTCCATTATTTCACTCAATTTTTGCCGAGATCTACCGCACGCTACACAACCAACTATTTTAGAGTATTTTTCGATAAATCGCGATAGTGTCACTGTTAATTTAAGTTCTGCCACAATTTCCATCTAGATTTACTACCTTTATACAACTATCAGTAGTAGAATAAATAATAAATAACATAAAATAAGCTCCGTAAAGACTGACAAATCCACAAAATTTCAAATCAAATTCAAATGTGTCAAATGAATCGTCAAACAGAACTGTCAAGGATCCCCACCCTAGAGAGCTTTTATGGTGGCTTTTCCGCCCACCATGCATGAATACATGGATAGCATTATGCTCCTTCCTTAGTCTTCTTATTCAAAGTGTATACCCATATATCAAGTATATACAGGGTAAGATGAAAAAATTAAAGTATGAATATTTTTTCCATTTTTGAGAATACCTTCGTACGCCACTGTTTTTTGAAATTTAATTTTCGGCTAGAATTAAAAATTGTTTAATTAATTATTCCGTAATTTATTAAAATGCTCAAGAAAATGGTCGTACCATCAGGGATGCTGTTTTTCGAGTAATTGCCTGTTTTTTACGTTTAGAGAGAAAATACACGTAGAAAATAGAAAAACATAACTAAAAAATGAAGTATGACATTTCTCTTCCTTTCGAAAATAGAATTATTATTTCTGCCTTAATTTGGATTTTAACAAGAAAGAACGTGTATATTTTATCAATAAATTTACCAGACAGGTAAAATAAATTAAAATACCTATTGTGCAAAGATGTGACAACTGTTAACAGCGATTGTATAGAGGCTTAACTAACCTGGAAAAGAATTTTTACGTTTAAAAGACGTAAAACGCTTTTTTAAACGTAAAATATCATTTCCCGTGTAAAAACAATTTTTACATGTTTTTACTAGCTCATACTCGCTTCTGTAAAATATTAAGATTTATTATGAAGTTCTTGAGTCAGAAAGTAAAAAAAAAACATTTCCAAAACAATTATTTAATCATTAAGTTACTGGTCAATTTGTTTTTTTGACTATTTTTAAAAATGGATTTTAAATCTCTAAGTGTAGGCAACCAGTTAAACGATCTGATTATATTTAACTGTCTATCTAATAAAATGAGTTTAAACGTGAGATCACCGCGAATCTTTACACGTATTTCGTAATTTTTGCAGTAAAACCATGATTTAATTATAAATGAAGTTCATTCGACAAATTAATCCGTATTTTATCAAATCCCTGTACCCTGTATCAAAAACAGAAACGTCAACAGTTGTCAGATTTAAAACGTCAAGTCAAGGCGACATGACCCCCCACCAAAACGTCACTTTCTCCCAGTTTTTTGTTCGGGGAGCCTGGCGAAAAGTTTGTGTTCATATTTTGTAGTAATTCTGCGGTGTGGCAGCGACTACAATTTGTCGTTTGCAAGTTGCCGTCGACAATTAACCCTCTGCCTACTCGAATCAATTAATTGAACGCGCTCAACCCCCGAAAATTTGCGTTGTGTTTGTGTTTTTGGTTCGTGTGTCAAGTCACTTGCAGGAGGAATTCTGACAGTTTGGGGGCTGTTCTCGTTCAAGGCAAGTGTTTTTTTATTATTATTAAGTTTTTTTATTTGTATTTGATACGATAGTGCGTCTTTGCAGAGAGTTTATCGGGCTAGATAATGACAGATTAGTGATTTATGAGCTTGTTGTCTGTTTATTTTAATACTTCTAAGTGGGGAATACCAACAATTATTGCATAGGCATAGTCTATTTTTAACAAGCTGCGAATTTCAGAGCCATGGATATTTCGCAACAAGAACATTGTGAATATTTACTAAATTGGCTTACTTCAAAATCGGTTTAACAGCCGTTCAATTGTCGATAGTATTTTGTATTTTTGTGTCACCATCACAAGACGATTTTCTTAACGTTGTTTCACCAAGCCCAAAGATATTTGAGTTTATCTTTTTTATATGTTTAACTAGTTAAATATTTATAGTTTACGTAAGCAATTAAATGTTATAATATTTGGTTATGACTAAATTACCTTGAGTGAATGAAAGTTGGTATGTATATTTACTGTTTTTTTTAGTTTGTTTAACCATCATGACATTACTATTTTTTCATGATTCTAAATACTGTTTTAATCTCGGTTTTAATATTATTTTTAATCCATCTATTGTCATAATTAAATAATAATGACTAAAACAATGATAAATAATTCTACAGAATTTGGGAATCTAATTTTAAAAAGCATATAACTATAATTTTAAATGTTATTGTTTAAATATCTGTTTGATTTATTGTCGATGATAACCTCGGGATTATCATTATGAAGATAACTGTACAATTCATTCCAAACACATGTCGAACAACTGTGCTTTTATTTGAAATTGATTAGCTCCAATACATTCTTCTATGCGACTTCTGTGTTAACTGAAATCTCGAATTAACATCAGGGTTGAAAAATACCTTTCATCATGAAAAATATTTATATAAATATCATGTCACATGATATATCATTATCATCATCATTTCCAGCTTATTCAACCATTTTCAGTTATGGTGTATTCTCCCTCACATATTTAATCTAGGAATTGGGCCCATTATTGTTGGTTATGCGGGTTCACGCTATCCTAATTTCCTAATCATGGTCCTATCTTAGATTTGGTCTTCTTCTAGGTCTCTTAATTCCTCGTGGGTACTATCCTGTAATTTTTGTGGTCCATTTATTGTCAGTCTTTCTTGCCCGCTGTCCTGTCCATTGTCATTTGGGGGATTTGATTCTCTGGATGACATCTATTAATTGGATCTTTTGTTGTATCCACTTTATTTTTTACTGTTTTTCTTCGTTATTCCCAGCATATTTCGTTCCATCGAGCGTTGTGCGGCCTGCAGTTTCCTTGTAATATGCGTCCAGGTTTCGCATGCTCATGACTAGTAGTAAACATTGATCAAATATTTCCCCTTTAGATGAAGTGGTATTCTAGATTTATTGAATTTGAATATGATTGAGTTTCTTCCTACTTCCTATGTACTCCATGCTTACTAATTCTGCTGTTGATTTCTGGTAGTACAGATGCTGAGTTGTGTATTAGTTGGCTCAAACATATATATTCTTCAACTATTTTCAGTGTTGTATTGTTTCTCACTCATCTCTCACTCAATCAGTTCGTTGTACGTTACTTTAGTTTTTGCTAAATTCATTTTGAGACCTATTTTATTGCTGGCTTGTAGTTCTTCAGAACTATTGGCAATTAGGAGTATGTTATCAGCGAATGGTTAAGATATTCCCCGTCTCTTTTCAATCAAATGAAGATCGCTGTGATTTTGCATGTAAAATATATGGGTAATGTTATCGATTGTCATTTCCAAGCCAACTTGACGCCGTTTTTTTTTCGATGGTACGGTACCTAAATATTGAAGGTTTTCGAAAATAATTATTTTGTTTGAGACCTATTTTATTGCTGACTTGTAGTTCTTCAGAACTATTGGCAATTAGGAGTATGTCATCAGCGAATGGTTAAGATATTCCCCGTCTCTTTTCAATCAAATGAAGATCGGTGTGATTTTGCATGTAAAATATATGGGGAATGTCATCGATTGTCATTTACAAGCCAACTTGACGCCGTTTTTTTTTCGATGGTACGGTACCTAAATATTGAAGGTTTTCGAAAATAATTATTTTGTTTGAGACCTATTTTATTGCTGGCTTGTAGTTCTTCAGAACTATTGGCAATTAGGAGTATGTCATCAGCGAATGGTTAAGATATTCCCCGTCTCTTTTCAATCAAATGAAGATCGCTGTGATTTTGCATGTAAAATATATGGGGAATGTCATCGATTGTCATTTCCAAGCCAACTTGACGCCGTTTTTTTTTCGATGGTACGGTACCTAAATATTGAAGGTTTTCGAAAATAATTATTTGGTTTGAGACCTATTTTATTGCTGGCTTGTAGTTCTTCAGAACTATTGGCAATTAGGAGTATGTCATCAGCGAATGGTTAAGGTATTCCCCGTCTCTTTTCAATCAAATGAAGATCGGTGTGATTTTGCATGTAAAATATATGGGGAATGTCATCGATTGTCATTTCCAAGCCAACTTGACGCCGTTTTTTTTTCGATGGTACGGTACCTAAATATTGAAGGTTTTCGAAAATAATTATTTTGTTTAAGGAAAATACCAAACACTCTTACTCAGGTAGTTTAAAAGTTTTCAAATATGGTTTGATTGAAGGCAAACCAAGAGCTTTGACAATAAAAGTTTATTATATTTTTACTGGTCACTTTGAATTTTGTAAAGAACCAGTTCTTTTGTGTAAAAATATTGATTTCTTTATGGTTTATGGTTTTCCTGTACTGACCAGGAAGTGATGTATTAGGTGTAAAGGCAAGGGATACTACAATAAAATAAAGTAATTTTAAGTGTTGAGATCTTATTTTCGACGTTTTTTCGAACTTTTCACAGTCTGTTCAGCGAGAGGTTCCTTAACAGTGACAGTTTTTGTTGGTGAGATTTTAGTATATCCTCGAGTATATTCTATTCTTGTCAATGACTAAAGAATACCAATAGGACCAATAATACCCGAGATCAAATTGTTCCCAGTTGTCACCAAACAGTGCCCCGTGTCAAAGGTGAAGTGCAGAAAATTAATTGTTTATTTATCTAGAAACGTAATTCCGATTTCTTTATTCTCGCTGTGGCTTTTACACTTGAAATCTGAACAAAACACCCATTGTAATGATGTTTATACAAAGTTCACTATACACCATAAACTATTAAAAATCGCTAAAACTATCTCTGATATCATCTCCTTTGTTTCGCACCAAAAAAATGGTGTCCTATAATTTTACATCACAAATTTTGCTCCAGCCCGTATAATATGCTCGTTACGCTTTCTTGTATTCTGTATATACAGGGTGGTCCAAACTGTATTCCGCAAACTTAGGCAGTATATTCTGCAGATATAAATAAGTAAAAAAAAATCGTATAAAAGTATATCCTAAAATGCTAAGTTTCTGAGATAGAGGGTGTAGAAATTTCATTTTTATTTCAATTTTTTTCAAATAATTTATGAAGTAACTTCAATATTTGTATAGAAATTGGTGCCTGGAAACTTTTTGACATGAGAAATTTGATTTTGATGTCAATATGACTCTTACTTGTAGAGGGCGCCACCTATATATTTTTTAACTGGTTTGAAGGGTAATAACTTTTCGTCCATACCTGTTAGAACTATTGAGTAAAAAAATATACATTTACGACTTTTTTTTATGTAAAAAAGGTCTCTTGGTAAAAATCGCAACGAGTAATGGTTCTGGAGATATTTCAAATCGAAATTACCAATACGTGTCATCATTCATCATTGACATAATTTAAACATGTTGACTAAATAGGTATTAGACTGCAATCATAAATTTGAAATGTTTTTGTTCCAAAAGTTCAACAGAAACTGTTTTATCATAATTTTTTTGGCAGAAAAATTTATGATAAATTTAAAAAAATAAAAATTTTCAAAATTTATTAGTTCAGTCAAATAATTATATTATCTACTCAACGTGTTTATTTTTTGTCAATAATGAGATGTATTGATTATTTTCATTTTAAATATCTTGAGAACAGTTGCTCATAGCGATTTTTACCAAGGGACATTTTTTCCGTAAAATGTCATGGAAATGTATAATTTTTCACTCAGTAGGTTTTATACAGGTACGGACGAAAAGTTATTACTCTTCAAAACAGTAGGAGGAAAAGTAGGAGTCATATTGGCATCAAAATCAAATTTCTCATGTCAAAAAACTCCCAGACACCAATTTTTGATCCAAATATTGACGTTCCTTCAGAAATTATATGGAAAAAATCGAAATAAAAATGAAACTTCTACACCCTGTATCTCAGAAACAAAGCATTTTAGCACATACATTTATACGATCTTTTTTACTTATTTTCATCTACAGAATATGCGAAGCTTCCGGAATACAGTTCGGACCACCCTGTATTATAGCTTTAGTATTATCATTATCTATTCTAGATTCTACCAAACAAACACTGTCAAGCATTTATTTTGAATATTAAAGATCTAATATATTTTATTTATTTAAAGATTAAGAAGATATTTAATTAATTAACTAAAGATTATCAAGGTATTTTAATAAATTAGAACGCTCATCAGGTCAGAGTTTTTGTCCAAGCACTTTTTTCTCTTTTGAATGTAGAGCAAGGATTCTCCAACACTGTTTGAGTCGTTTTTCAACTGAAATCAATTAAAATCTTTCCAATTAACGCAGCTTTCATAACAGACATTTGGCAGACGACTAATTAGATATAGAAACTAGGGATGGGTCATTTAAACAAAAGATCGATAGTTTGAATATCGATATTTAAAAAAAAAATATATCTATGTATTTTCAAAATAGCATTTAATACCAGGTGCGTCTCAAAAGTGGCTCACCTCTATAACTTCTTTATTTTTTCAGTTAAAAAACGAGATTTGGTTTGTTAGTATATGGACATAAATTAGGATTGATTGACGTATTCAATTGTTTTCTGTCACTTCCTTTTTCACCGGAAATGACTACAACTTTTGATTTTTAAATGACATTCGGTATTTTTTTACTTTATTCCATAAAAAATGACACCCTGAATATAATGACATATCATATGTCAACCTTTGACATTTTCGCATATGGTTATTTGAAATTATAACTTGCGGTTCGTAACGAAAATTTGACTCGAAATACCAAGTGTGTGGTATCAAATTATTCGTAAAAAAAATCTTTCTCAAATATACTAATGAGCCACCCTCGTTCCATTTGAAAAAATTGAGGTATGATTAAAAATACGATTGGAGCATTTTCTAACTGGCCAGGATAAGACACTAAAAACATTAGACGACCCAATCTATTTTTCCAAGGCTCCTTGATTAAGAATTAGTGTTTTTAACATAGCCATGGCTCTCTAAATAATAAATTTAGTTAGAATACGATTTTTAATTAAGCAAAAATGTCAAAAGTTGACATATGATATGTCATTCTAATCAGAATGTCATTTTCTATCAAATAAAG